CCCCCCCCCTCCCCCATAACGGCCCGATACTAGTCTCGCTCACAGGCAGGACACCAGGCAAACAGTCACTGCTCTCCCCATGCTCTGTTACAGTTGAACACGACCACGACAAGAAAGAAGAAGGTGGTGAAGATGGCGGTGGAGATGGAGGTGGCGAAGAAAACGAGATAAAGGTATTTTCAGAAAAAGTCTTTAAAGTAAATTTTTGCTTGAATTGGTTTTCTTGTTTATTTATGTTTTTGCTCAGATTTACGGACGAAAAGGACATAGCGTCCCTGACTCTTAATGATACATGGAGGTGAAGAATGACCTGTACGCATGTATTTGCTCCGAGAATTGGTTGGTAACTTATTGTATTATGTACAAGATTGTCTACAAATCACAGACTGTGTGACAACGAAAAATTGCAATAAATACATCTTGAGGCTGAGTAGGTCTACCTGACTTACGTGACTGTTTGTTTTGCAGGCAGAGATAGACTTTGTCCCACAGAAAGGAATGGTCGAGGAAGATCTGTTCGCACCACCAGGAATGAACATGAAGATGGACATTGAAGAAAACCCTCAGTGAGTTCATGATTTCTTATATTTCTAGAAATATGACAGTAATATATTTTTTAATCTTATTTCTCATTCCCGAAAGCTAATCACATGCATAGTGTCATGGGCAAAGGTCAGGAATAGCGCAGGCGCAGAGGGCCCAGTTCTAGTAAATGCAGAGTGTAAAGAACTCTTTTTCGTTGGAAATGTTGTTGTTTTGGACTTGGATGTTATAGGTAAGGGCTGTAGTATTTTCATTTTCTTGAAAAAACAGACTTTCAGCCATGTTTGTGTTGTCTGGCTCGCTGAAGAAGATATAGGTTTACATGCGGTCATCAGCTGTCCAGAGGGGTCAGGGGTCACTTCTCAATGTTCGGCTAGAATTCTCGCATGGTTTAGTTGCGGCATGTATATGTTCTTCAAGGTCTAAAACTCAGGTATATGAATTTTGAACACGTTGTTTTGACATAATTCCCATATATTAACATAGGAAAGCCTTGTTACTGGGCTGTGACCTCAAGAGTCGTAACAAAAAAGTTCAAGAAAGTTGATAGAAAACATATGCGACTAATCCGTAAATGATACAATCAGGTTAGTAAATGATTGAATGGTGAAGTTAATTTATTCACAGTTTTAATTAGGTGAGCTGACGTTTCGATGACCGCCTGTCATATCTTCATCAGGGCTTATATATATATGGCAGGTTAAGTGTGCACTGGAGCTAGGTGGTACATGGTTCACTGTGCGCTGGAGCTAGTAAAACAAATGGTTGTGAACAAAAAAAAAACTTCACTATTCATGTACGCTTATGTCTGATCAACTATGAATCCCCTGTTACACAAGAACACGAACACCAGCCAATCAATGTCATCTGGGGTCGGGAGCAGTCTAACCAGATTTGACCACGCCTACCCTACCAGCCAACCATTAGTAAACCATAGTCACATCTCCAATCCACACCATAATGTTGTTAACATTTTTGAAACATTCGGCTGGTGAAGCCGAACAGTAGCCGACCTCGCCGAGCACCAGCCAACTTTGCTCCGACCTTGTTTGGGTGCGTTCGGCTGGAAGTCGGGAGGCCAAATGTGTGACATCTGAACAAGATGTGATTATAAAGCTTTTGCAATGAGATGGGCTGTTCTAGATGTAAAAAAAGTCTTTTGTGTGATTCAATTGTGCTCAAGTTATGAATGATGATTTTCTTTAATTTTAGGGCGGACGACAATGCGGACGACATGAGCGAGCCCACGGCGTTCTCCTACCCTCTCGGGATGGGAGGTGCGCTAATGGACGGGTGTTTTGGGACAGACTACACACCAGAAGATCCGTGCTACAACCAGAAGACTGTCCAACCCGCCTGTGGTGTAAGTAGTGTTTATGGAGTCCATACTGTCTGCCTGTCATTTACGGTTATTGTTTTTGGATGGTTGGATTTTCTTTTTACATAACCGGTAATGCCTGACTCTCTTACCTGCTTACGTTTCGATGCCTGTCAGAGATCTTCCTCAGAGCTTCTGACTAGAGTTACTGTTTCATTACATATATTACACTGTAAATACATATAGCGTCGAGAAGCAAATGTCTCCTTGTTTTGCTATACCAGCAAAATAGCTAAAATCAACAAGCAACCGTTTTCATTCAGAGGCAGTGCATTTTGCTTTACCGAAGAGTATATGCTTTGGGATAGGTTTGATTTAACAAAAAATGACAAGAAGGGTGACTAAGAAAATCCAGTTTTGTCGCCCAAAATTGCATTGTATGCCTTGCGTAATAGGGGCGTCGTCTTCTTGTCTTGTAGAACATGATGGAGGGATGTGCGTACATCGGAGTTGGATTCGATGGTCGCGGGCAGTACAGCAGCGCCTCCCGGAAGAAAACAGTCATACAGCGGTACTGCGCCAAGGGGTCGACGTGAGTTTCATGGACAGTTTTAATAGCTAAAACTAGATGGCTGATAACGTATATGGTATTTATATTCACATTAGTACAAGGAACAATGATAATGTGTTATGAGTTACTCTCATTACAAACATTACACAACATTACAAACATTATTGGAGTAATCTGTATGATCTATCTATCTATCTAGTAGTGTATAATTCTCTCTCTCTCTCATCTATTATAATGATTTTCATGTGGTAAATAGCTAGTATGCTTGAGTATACGTGAGATGAGGGCCCTGTGACACTTCTGTGCATCATTATTGCGTATGAGTCCTGTTTTGGCATTTCCGTGACACACAGTCTTATGAGTGACAGCTGCAGAGAGAGAGAGAGAGAGAGAGAGAGAGGCGTAAAATGTAAACATACGAGTTTCTTATGGCATTTAATGACTTTTAATCCCCATGTATTTGACCACAGTTATCACAATCAGGACGTCCCCGACAACATGAACGTTCACGGCATCTATGACACGGAAGTCACCTCCTATGTGTTCGATTCGAGAGAGGCTTATCGACATTCTCTTCAGCAGAAGGCCGGCGTCTCCTTTTCAGGATGGGGCTTCCAGGTAACATTAGGGAGATACAAACAGTAAATTTCTTTACAAAGTAAGTTGATATGACCACAAATAACCACATTCCATTGCAAATAAATGCTGTTCAGGACGTGGAGGTGCCGAAATATGACGTCTTTGCATTGTTTACGAGTGTGTTCGAACTCTTGAAACACAGCTGTCAGCCATGTTGGTTACATTCTGATTCTGATAGTGTTTGTTGGAACGACTGAGTACGCCTCGTGTAGGCTGTTTTAGGGCCACAATAGATGTCAGAAATGTGGAATAATTGCACAAAATACGTTAAAATGTTTTCAGCAAAGGAAATGTTATTTACAATGTAACAGTTTGGTTGATGATATTGTATGAAGATATAGCAGGAATGTGTAGTACATTTCTTTACTAATTGTGACTTTATGATGGTAGTTACCATATAACTATCATATATAATAACTGCTTGAATTTGTAACATAGAATGAATCCGTTTGAATCTTAGGCTTCCGTCGACTCAGCATGGGGCGGGTCCCAGGAATCTCAGAAACAGTCGTTTATGTCCCTTATAGAGTGTGATGTTATCAGGTACATTCTTTTCTTTGCTTTCTTTCATAAAGTTAATGTTTTGTTTTATCTTCGTGTTTGTAATACGTTCAGTACTTGGAAAGTGCATTCTTGATTGAATAAAATGTCATCTTTTATCACATCATATCTTTTATCAAGGTACGAAATCTTCCTTGACGAGGTTACGCCCGATTCACTGAGCCTGGCTTTCCTTCGCGACTTCCTGTCTCTTCCCAAGAATTTCATCAATGGAAAAGCAAAATTACGTAAGTACTTGTCATCTGGTAGTAGTAGTACACTTGTTTGTCCAGAACAACTGGGCATGCACACACAATTTCATTTCCTGTAATTTTATTTGATGTTAATAATTTAGGTCCCCTCCGGAAACATTGGAAAAAGCAAGTAGGTAATGTTTCTCCTGGTGAAATAAGTACATAAACAACAGATATACGTATACTTTTTCTATTGTAGAGGAATTCATCATCCGCTACGGAACCCATTACATCAAGTCAGCAAAGTTTGGCGGTTCCTTCAGGCTGTTCAAGACTCAAGAGGCATCTAAGACTTCAACCCTCTCAGATTTTTCAATCCAGGCCCAGGCTTCCTATAACGGCATGTTTAGTGCGGGTGGCCACTACGGTAGACAGGAGTCGAGTGAGCAATCGTAAGACTGCTTAATTTTCTATCATCTCATTGACTGTATACAGCGTACCTGGATGCTCTATTGAAATTGGTGATGAGTTTTCCATCAATGTTTGGTAAAACATAGAAAGTCTAACACCATGTAGTCATCGCTGTTTAAAAGTGGTATTTACTACTTATGTGTAACTTAAAAAATGTTTTAGAAATCATATTCAAACATTTAAGCCTCATTTACAAATTACATTAAGCACACTTTTATATTAGATGTCGAGCATATTTGCATTGGCCACTTCATTATATAATCATGATTGAATATAACAAGGTACTCAAAATATACATAAAAATTCATTCACAATAATGTACGTATATATTCATTTACCTATATTATGAAGAAATGGTTTCAAATGTTCGATAATCTGACAGAAACTTATGTTACAGCTCGTCCTCCAAGTCCTCGAGCTCCCATGTGATGGTCGAAGGAGGTGAGCAAGAAGTGGCGGCCGTCGTTTCAGACTTCTACACAACTAACTTCAAGGAAACCTTCACCGAGTGGCTGAAGTCCATCCCGTCCTACCCCAAACCCATCGAGATGTTCATGGGCACCATGTCAGAACTACTAAACCTGAACTTCAAACTTCTCTTCCCCTTCGACATCAGTGATGCTGCAGACGGCTGCTTTGCCAACAAGTGGGTAGATATAGCAACATATTCTCATCGGTTTTGTTACACATAAGATTGCATGCCAATTAACACAGGGCACTTATTTATTAGGGTAGGTTTTATAGAAATGAAGGAAGGTTCCATGGCTTAAGAACTGAATAAGCAACAGTGGATTATTCTAAGATCCTCAGTCGTTTCTCTTATCAAACCTATGTATTAAGTGTTTCTAATTTTGGTGTTTTTAAACCTCCAGTTAGGGTTCAGTGCAATCATTTGTGTTGTTGTTTTCATTTGTGTTTTGTACATACTAGTATACGTTTAATGTTCTGAATGTGAACCCATAGCTTGCGGTCAGAGCCTGTAACAGGGAGGAAGTACTATGAAGTCCCGAAGCTTGTCAACAGCAGTGAAGGAGGTACCAGAACAATCAAGGAAAAACGGTACATGTATACATACATACATACATACAAAGAAACAAACAGACAAACAAACAAGCATGCAGACGCAATGAATCATTTCATTAAGATCGAGTTACATGTAAATTATAAGCTAAAGATAGCTTATAATTTAAAATAGAGTTTAAGATAGAGATTTTAGAATTTTGAGGTTTGGGTCATAATATATATGAGTAATATATACATATAGATTCATCCTTTCTTAATTGCTCCTTGTCCCGAAAATAATCTCTCGTATTCTTTTGTTTTCGTTAGGTATTGCGACGTTACGTCTATTGACCAGTTTCAAGTCGAAATGGACCAGAAACGACTTGCACTTGAAAGGGCCATTGCTATTTACATGGAAGAGGTGAGAGATTTCTATTGCGGCTTTTTATCATGTTAAAATAAGTTATGTAGAATATTAATTAGATCGAACAAGTCTAAAATAATAGAATCGCACGTGTAAGATTGGAAATCCACCCCCTAGACAATAATGTGCTTGTCTTAATTACTGCAATTTTTTAATTACTCCGAAAAGCTGCAAGGTTAATTCGCAATTACTTCAATGAAATTCAACAGTTTTATGTTTAGACATTTTAGATTAGTCAACGGTGAGAATGGAAAAGCGTCTTGTGTCATTGCTAACTTTCTTTTTGATTTGTGTTGATAAACCCTGTACTTCTCAGCTAACCTAGTTACTTCATCAGGCAGGCAGGCATGCAGTTATCCTTGAGTTGTAGGCTCTGGGATGGCCATTGTCGCCTTGTGTTCGATGTTGTCTTGCCATGTTTTTCTCAACAGTTTGCCGCACACTGAACTCTCTAGCGGACCAACTAATGCATGTTTTGGCCAATTTCTTAGCCTCCTTAGCAGACTTGTAGGGCGCGGCGTTATTTTTGGTGAGCGACGGGAGTTATGCAGCGGAGGGACAATTTTGTCGCTAAGGGAGTTTTTCCGGGGAGAGACGGTTTCGCTGCCCAACAGGAAACCGTCTCTCCCGGCACAACTCTCTCGGCGGCAATCGTCCCTCCGCAGCATGACTCCTTTTAATCACCGAAAGAAAATAACGCCGCGCCCTACAAGTCTGCGAAGGAGGCTACCAGTTTCTTCTCTTTTCAGCCGACTCCCGAAGCCTGGAGGCTGTTAGGAACCATATAGGCTGTGAACGTGTTCTCGTTCATACTGATCGGTCTTACTCTAGATCTCCTCTACCTCCGCAGGGCCCGATTCCAACCGCAGACTTCCACCTGCGGGGAGGGAAACCTGGATGTCAGGCTGAAGCCCTTACCGTGAAGGCAGGAGCTACTGGAGTCACTCACCCCTCCTGGACTGACTTGATCAACGGAGACACCTACAAGGTTGGAAATAAGGCTACAGTGTCTGTATCTGTATAGTCGGTATAACTGCCTTTCGGCGTAACACACCAGCTTCTGTATCTTTATAGCCGGTATAAGTTTCCCTTCAACGGTTAACTTCAATCCTACATGTCCTAGGTTGATAACTCTAGATCTGGTACTTGTTCTTGTTCCTTTCTAAGTTTATAGTAATTTTTAGTTGGTACATCCACCAGGATGGCCAGCCTTGAAGACCCCCTTCCCCCACATTTTCCCCGGTCTCCCCCTCTTTCGCTTTCCCCGGGGGGGCAGTGAATTCATGTGAAGGCTTCTCTTGTGGTGCTTATTTACCGGCTTGTGCACTGAGGTGTGGCCAAACCAGGTGTATCTCTTGTGATTAAAGTCAGTCCGCACCGGTTTCTGTCCTGTGCTTTGCCACAGTTCCTAGTTTCTGATGGTGTTGGGCCAGTGGATATTTCGGATTTTCTTTAGGCCATGTTGATTTGATTATATGGATGACATCCTCTGGGAACCCCAAAACTGATGCGAGCGCGCGAATAAAAAAAAAGTTTTGCAAAAAAAAAAAGTTGACTTTCATGAAATCTA